CCCCAAACATTCGCGGCGAAAAATATCATGCACAAATATTTTTATGGTCGCACTTTTTCTCATCGAATTCCTGCCTGTAATAACGGATCAACGAGAAAATTTCATTTATCAGCCTATAATTTTGATTTTTCTAGTAGTATATCTTACATCTAAACTTCAATTGTTACATATATTACACTCTAACTGCTCATAAAAAAAAAATTCTATTTCAATTTTTAAAAGGTTATGATACATTTATGTATATATATGCCATATGACATGGTTGAATGGTGGTATAAATGCTAAAAACAAAATTTACATGTAATTGAGCACATGTAAATACAGAAGAATTAGGCATGAATTTCATAAAACCCCCTAATGCAAAAACTGAATAGCCTGAACCAAAACACTCCTAAACCTCTTCACATCAAGCCTCACATTCTGTCGATCCAAATATATCTTCCTCAGCGCCATCCACCCCTGCCTCTGTATCGACCCAGGATCCCTAAACACCGGCCCCTCCCTATCAAACTCGTCTATCAAACTGCTCTCCTCCTCCCCAATCCCATACTGCAAATACCTCATCTTCATCTCCATCGCTGGCCTCCCGAAATCAATCCAAGCAATGTTCTCCAACCCCCCCAATGGAACTATCTGTATCACCACCGCATTGGCCGGAAGAAAGACGAGATTAGTCAGCCCGGCTCCATGCACTCCCATGATCACGTCGCACGAGTTTACCACGCGTGCGAACTTATAAAGATTGGAAGAAACCTCTGCTTCCGCAATCACTGCTTCAAATCCTACTTCTTCAGCCATTTTTACTATCTCATTTATGTTCATGAAGGAACGAGTGAACTTCCTTGCTATGATTAGAAGCCTCGGTTTATTGACTTGATGATCATTTTCTCTCAGTTTGATTGCTTTGTGTCTTTCCAACCCGTATGATTTTCTCATCGTTGCAGCAAAGTCGGCCATGGAAATTGAGTTTGGAGCTCTTGAAGAATCAATCCCCATCTCCCTGTGCTTCCTCAGACCCACTATCGCACGTGGGAAACAGAGGACGTTTTCCATATCATCAAACTTGATTATTTCGTGGCTAGAGAGCTGATGGAGATAGGGCTTGTACTTGGCTAGCCACCATGGCTGCACATTGCTGATGATGAACTGAACTTGGGTTCTGAAACTGGTTGCTGTGATGAAGAGAGGGATGAGGATGTCGGTGAAGTCGTGGAAGAGGTTGCCCATGTAGCCGCCGGTGGAGAAGACGATGCTGGAGAAAACGATGCAGGGGATGGTGTGGTTGATGGAGCAGGGAGGGGTTTGATTTTGGTTGGGAGAAGATTTTACTGTGATTTCTGTGACATGGGCTAGAGCGGTTTGATCTCCTTTGCGGGGATGGGGTTTGATGGTCCATGAGTGTCGTTGCTGCGAGGGATTGGATGGGGAGAAGATGATGGATGATGAGTTTCCGTGGATTCGGATGGTGCCTGAAAGCTCGCAGATGTCTGATCTTTGGTCTGAGAAATCGCATATTGGTTTCTGGTCTGATGGATCTGTGGCGATTGTTTTTGTGCCTGCGAATGCAAATAGCAGGGCAGTGGTGGTGTTTATGCATGTACATATGTTTCACTTAATTCCTATAAATTTATATATGTAATGTTTAAATTTATATATATATATATTGGGATACTGCGCAAGTATATGTATTGTTATCAAGTAATATAGGACTTTTTGATTAAGACATGAATATCGAACTCACAGGAAAAATTAGCAATATGCACTATTAAACAACAAACTTTTTTGTATTTTTGATATTTTAACAAAATAGTAATAGCTTCTAAAGATAACTTGAGTTTATGTAAAAGAAAAGTACTTAATATGAAAATATCTTTCTCCTTATCATGAATCAGTAATAAGTATAGGATTTATGTTGGGGAAGTATGCAAATTGTGTTGTGTCAAATATGAGCAATAATATTATTTACTCTTACTATACATGCTATAAAGCACCAAAGTAATTCTTCAGACAGAACTATGATGTCGGTCTATAAATTAAAACAGACAACAAACAGAACAGACACAGAACTGTCCCAAACAGACCCTAAAAGTTAAAATGATGATGTTTTTATTTGATATAAGAAAAATTGAATGTTATGAATATAAAAAGTGAAATTGAGTTGTTAGATGTGTGATTATTTTCACAAATTAATATTCTGCAAATCAATTTATTGTTGCCATGCAGCAAATTTATGAATAATTTGGTTGATTATTAGGGTGCAATATGTAATTAAAGTATAATTAAAACAGTGTTATCGAATTAACTAACTATAACATTTGATTAATGAAGTTTTTGAATTGATTAAACTTACATGATAGAGTATTATTGCCACCATTATTCTGGCTGCACAAATCAAATGTGTGATTAGAAGATGGATCACCCTCTCCTTTCTCTCCATTTACGAATATACCTTCAACTGAAAAAAAAAAAAGGAAAAGAAATGTACAATATATAATTGTTAGATATCAATCAATGAAGACAATAATATTGTAAATAACAACTATTTAAAAAAAAATATTATTTATGTAATATAATAAAATTTAGGTAAATTTGCATAAATGCCCCTCAAATCTTATGTATTTGCACATCTAACACTTCAACTTTAATTTTTACATATACACCTCCTTACATATCTATGAAAACAGAGTGTATGAAAATCTGTATTTCATTTTTTATGAGTTTAAATAGTGATTTTTTTGACGTGATCGAAAAGATTTGGGTGGTATAAATGTAAAAAGAAAAAGTTTAGGTGTTAGATTTGTAAATACACAAGATTTATAAAATTCTCCTTTTCCGGCATATGCAGAGATGAATGCGCCGTCCGATCTCCACCGTTGATCCGAGCTTTCATCATTTTTTTTTGTTTAAAAAAAAATTGGCCCACTGAAATACAACTTTGACCTGATCAACGGTGGAGATCGGACGACGCATTCTAAAGTCTTAGCTCACCGTCATCTCCTCGGAGAAATTCATGCTCATAATACCATATCCTTTTGAGTTTATTTAGGAAAACCTCGTTGACTTCTAATACCACTAATTAAACAAAATTTTAAAAATAATTACAAATAAAAAAAAATAATAGCTGTGTAATTTTAATATATTTCGATATAAATTATAGGAAAATTACATGCATCACTCAATTGCTATTGGTTTACATATCTACCTTAACATAACCAATTTATCTTATGAATGGATTTAGATTTCACTCGAGCATATAGAGTACATGTACAAAAATAAAGATTTATGATGTACGTATTTAAGGAGACTCTTGGCAGAGAATGCAGATGACTGCTATTAAATTTGTCTCTAACAAATAATGTAGCCATAACATCTTAGTTAAGTGCTAGAAGTTCATTTCTCTTCAATTGTGATTGATTTGATCTTATTGCCAATCAATATAGATGAGTGCATGTATTGTGAGATATTAAAGAGCTAAAAAAGTAAAGAATATGCAAAATTTGATTTTTTTTTTTTTTTAATTACACAATACATAGTTTAAAAATACCATGCAAAGTATATTGAATGAATTAGAGATGAAAGTTTTTTTTTAAAGAAAATCTTTAAGCTAACATAAGAGATATAACTAATAATAACTATATCTTAGATATGGAACATCAGGAAGAAGAGATGTCATAATTCATACAACTTGTACATCATAAAGACGGCTAAACAAATCATGATGTGATCCAATGGACTGTGAAACAAAAAGTTATGGTAAAGGATAGCCAACTAGCGGAAGACCAAACGGCACATGCATCTTTATATGCACTGTCTGTATGAAATAATTTTTTGTTTTTTATTTTTTTTGTAAAAAATAATGTTTTAGGTGGCTCTCCTACTGCCTCAAATAATAAGAAATGATTAAAGCGTATAAATTAAAAATATTTCAGATATAGAAAATATCATATATTCATTCATATTAAAATATTATTTTTTATTTTGAGTGTTATAAATATAAATATCGAACTTTAATTAGTAGTCTTGAAAACACAAAAATTGTATGGAATTTCTGTAAGTTTTCCTAAAAAATTATTTTTTTTATTTTCCGCGCTATAAATGAAATGATTTGGCGGGAAGGCATCCGCGGAAGGCCTATGCGGATTTTCTTCCCCCGCTTGCTTGCTGCTAGGGCTTTTTTATATCGGCAGCTCAATTGAAGAGAAACCCTGAAAGATGCCGCAAGCCAAAATCAGCTCTTTCTTCCAACCCTCCCAACAGACACATCCGTTTCAGAAGGAGATAGAGCATTGGGATCTTCTCTCTGGAGACTTGGATCCAAATCCCCCGGTGGAATTAGGTTTAAAGGACCACACTTCACATCCCAAGAGGTACGGAGCTTATGATTCATGCCTGATCAGTATAGAATCTCCATTCTCGCAATAATGTTCTTTGAAGATTTTTTTTCTGGTTTTTCCTGATAATGATATGTAGTGGCTTTCTTCCTATCAGTGATTCTGACGAGTTTCCGGCATCAAGACGTTATTTTGAGGACAAAAAGAATGGCATCTCGTCAATTCGCAGCAGAAACTTCAGTAAGAAGAGAAGATATGAACAATATCATTTGGATTTGGGACAATCGGATTTCATGCTTTCTGCTTGCTCTTTATGCGGACTGATGTATGCTCGTGGAGTAGAAGAGGACGAGCAGGTTCACCGTAAGTTCCATCAGGACTATGAGAGGGGAATTCGGTTCAAGGTCTCTGGTTTTTGAAATTCTTCATATTTGGGAGGCCGTCGTTGGGTACTGTGCATGTAATTTCGATTTTTTTTTTGCAGGGCTGGCATAACGAGAGAGTTGTAGATGGTCCTTGGATTAATGGGGATCGCATTTTACTCATCTTGGATACTGATTCGTCCGCTCAAAAACGCTTGGTATTGTTCTATTTCGTTTTTGTTTTCTTTTTTTGAGAAAATATTAGTCGATTGAATGTTATCTTCTGCTGTCCGTATGTTTATAGGATGAGTAGAACAACTTGCGGAGTTATTAAAAAAAAATCATAATTTTAATATATTTGTAGTTGAGGCCTTCCTTCTGCATCAAAAAATTATCTTTTTGAGCACTATTTATGCAATCAACTGTTATTTTTTAGGGATAACTGCACACAGACCACCCGGAACTTTGATATTAACAAATTAACCACATGGGTGATTTTTTTGAACCATAGGATCGATGTATTTACGCATGCCACGATCAAACTATTGAGAATTTGATAAAAATGAAAAACATGGGTTGGGGTTTTACCAAGAATTTTAATATTTGAATGACATTTTGAAACATGGATGAAAGAGGGTGGTTGATTTGTAAATAGCAAGTTTCAGATGGTCTGTATGTAATTGCCCTTTTTTATTGTTATATTATTGGGGCATTTACATACATACTACCCAATTCCTATGTATTTACCTATCTAAAAACTAAACTTACTGTTTACATTTATACCACACATATCTTCTTATGACATGAAAAATGCCATCCTTTTAACTTTAGAAAATTCAAATACAGCTTTTCATGCACAGGGAATGTGGCATGCGTGTAAAAATTTAAGTTTAGGGGTTAGATATGTGAATACATACGAATTAAGTGGTATGTGTGTGAATCTTCCTCTATTTTTTTTTCAAGTAATCAATGCCAAGATTTGAACTTTCAACGCAATGATTTTGCTGGCAGGTTCAAAAGGTGGTTAAGGCGACAAAGAAGGAACTTGGGTTTGTTGATGATAATATCCTCCATGCGCTTTGTAAGGTAAACTAGTCTGGTCTACAATTTGCATAATATGACTGTTTCATTCAAAAGGGAACATTTTGTAATTAGGACATTATTGGAATTTACTTCTCCTCTTGCTTGCAACAAATGGTTTTTCTATACTTCAGGTTTATCTCTTTATTTCTGCTCATAGAGTTGTTGGATGGCTTGTTGCTGAACCCATACGAACAGCCCGTAGAGTTATCCCAACCTCTTTCTTTGGCAGTAAAAGCACAGAAATCTCTACTACTGACAAGATGGACCTTACAGATTCAAATAAATCAAAAGAAATCACTCTTCAGTTCGGAGATTTCAGATTTCGCAGAGAGCCTGTAAAGAATTCTTGCCCCACAGCCATCATCAAATTGAACAAATGGGACAGTGGTGCTATAATCTGTGAGGAGAATGCTGTGACGGCCAAGTGTGGCATTATGGCCATTTGGGTGGTGCCATCCAGTAGAAGGAAGAGAATTGCCACTCAGTTATTGGATGCTGTTAGGTAAAGTTGTAAGGATTTTATTTACACGCTTCATTGTTTCTATTGCTGATAAGTAAGTTAATTTATCTAATTGTTTCCAAAATTTGGTCCTTTTTAGGAAGAGTTTCTGCGTAGGAGAAGTTTTGGAGATCTCAGAGTGTGCATTCTCTCCACCTACCTCAGCAGGGTTGGCTTTTGCTTCCAGTTATACAAACAGCAGATCATTCCTTGTTTACAGAGCAGATGATGTTTGAATTTCAGAAAAAATCGGTAATTTTTTATTAATAACACATTTACCATAGTTTATTTCCTGAATTCACCATGAATTGGTATTCCATAGCTTTGGTCAACATACTGTTGGGGCATTCCTTGTTTTTAATTATGTATAGAGATGTTGTGATATTGTTCAACTCTTTGTTGGTCTTACAGCCCAGAAATTTAGTTGGATTTTATTTTGTGTGTTTTTTTTTAGTTCTTTTTAAATAAGCTCGAGTCAATCCGAATATGATGGCTGAAAATGTGAAGAAAAAGCCTATCACAAAAGGAATTTTTGAAAACCATGGGAAGCCATGACAAAGAATGGTTGTTCTGTTTGTCTAAACAAAGAAAAATGGGCTTTCCAATTCTGTTTTGTTCTGGAATTAAGATTGTCTTAGATTGAAAAGGATCATAAGAATATATTAAATATTTATCTTAGAATGAAATTTGTTTAGCTTGAAGAAAAAGAACAACCCAGTCATGATTCAATGCCATTGGATAATTAACAATTTTATTTTGTGATTGATCCATATTAGAATAGTGGCACACTAATTATTCTTGTTTATAGTATGTATAGTTAACCAGAAAAAATTGAAACTAATCTGTTTATCACATTCCATTTGGAGTGCATGAATACTCTATCAAATTTATCCTATGATTTAACTTGCACATGCAAGCTAGAAGTTAGATGTTTAATACATAACGGTCAGATTCTTCTCAGCCCTACTTTTTCTCTTAAGATAACTTTGCCGTCCCCACGACCTTAAAGAAGTATTAAGAGTTGACATGATCTGTTGATATAAAATAGTCGTGATGAGGTTATTAAGATTTCACTCTCTTCATCAAGACATCTTTGAGCTATCGGTTGGGCTTTGCAATATTTCATCTTCTTTTTATTCTCATCTTCATTCATTTCATCCTCCACTTCTGTGTATTGCTACGCTTCTTTGAGCATGTATTGTATCATTTCCTTAACCGCTCATAGAGTGGTAAGGTAATCACAAAAATGGCTACTAATGGGCCATAGGTTTTTTCATTTTTGTATTAGCAAAGATACCATTGATACTTTTAACTTGAGGTTGAAGTGTTTGTGGTGGGTGTACATTGAAGGATGACACACTCTTTTGCTTGCTGAGGTGTGTGCTGACTATTGATGATGCTCGGAGGGGATTAGGGTTAGGCCAATGGCATTTTCTTGGTTTGACAAATATGTATTATTTGTTGAAAGGGAGGGCATGCATGGTGTGGGGAAGGTTATAGCCAAGAGGTTTGAAAGGAGCAAAAAGCGGGCAGATTCTATCTTGAGCAGGAACCGTGAGATTAGGGTTATTTTTTATTTATTTATTTATTTTTGAATATTTAAAAATGAGAATTGAGTGTGTGCGCGCGTTAAAGATTTAAATAAATTTGAAAGAAAAATGAAGTTAGAGAAAATAAAATAAAAACAAATTGCTTTCTAATATTATAATTAAGATATAATAAACTAATAATAATCTCTCATATACATTTGATTATAAATTTTCATTGGAGATAGGTTATGAGAATAATTGGCATGAGCGTCGTCAATGGTTGGGGTCAGTACTCATGGGCTTATGTTGTAGTAATATTTTGTTTTTTCTCGACTGTTACCTATTATATTTATATCTCCGCATACCCATGATTTATGGTTTTATTGAATTTTTATTCACATTATAGGAATGTCACATGTACTTAACATTATTTAAATTATCATAGATATTGAATATTGTACGAGTATATTGATTGCTATACTAATGAGATTGAATTAATCATTATTAGATAGTGTTTTTTATAATATGTTTGTATGTGCATACTTGACTATGATGAAGTTTATTTTTTTATTGTATTAATGGGGGAACATTAAACACACGTGTATGTAAATAAAAAATGATATTGATATTGATGTACATTCATTGATACAAGTTTAGACAATGCTCATGTCACTGTTGTATACATATTAAAAATATATTGATACGTAAGCGATACAATATGACATAGTGAATATTTAAAATTATATTGAACGATTATATTAGATAGTACAAGTATTCAAATGCTCTTAAATTGATCTACATAAAATTTAACTGATATGTATATTGTTTTCTTTTCATTATATTATCACAGTGTAGAAGTATGAGTATTCACTGGTTATGATTAGTCTACAATTATTTTAAAATACACTAGGTTTAACTATTTGATTAAAAGACTATCAATAGAAAATAAAATATTTATAGTAGACGCTAAAAATAAAAAATAAGATAAATTTAACTTTATTGTTTTAAATTACTTTTTTTAGTGATTTTTTCATTCATTTAATGTTAGTTATGCAAAATGAATATAAAAAAATTTAGTTCCACTATTTGATTGCCTGTGTACGTTTTAGCCGGACTGGTTCGCCACAAATGCCTTCAACTCTTCAGTTTGAATTATTTATACAAAGGCTCCCCAATCTAACTATTTATCTTGCATTGATACCAACACCGAAAAGCTCAACAACTACATAGTTTTAGATTTCAATTCCATGTTGCAAATGTAAGACAAAAGTTACAAAATTCATCCATGAAGTACAAACATTCTCGCGCCATAGGTCTTTGAAAGACTTATGCTTAGGAGAGTTGGAAATTATTGGGAATACCTTTTCTAAAGTGAGAGAATACTACGCACAGGGTCCTGGTGCATCCGGACTCTATATACAATATTGTTGGACATGAAGCTAGATGCATCCTGACCCAACACGTAATAATTTTTCCTAACAAGAGCCATGGATCTCCATTGCTGAGAGAGTTATTAACCATTTGGTCATATCATATGCCAAACTACAGTTGTAACAACCTGAAGTTTAAAGCTCTGATTTATTTTCATACCATCCAATTCTTATGTATTTACATACTAACATTCAATATATATA